TAGGCATGTTGCTCTAATTTGCATTAGAATGAAAGAAGTAGAATCCAAGACTGGGGAGGCAAAATTCTCTGCAAGTTTAATAGAGATTCATCCTGTCCCAGTCTTGACAATTGCTACCATAGACAATATACTATATATCATACATCATTTTCAGTCCAATATTTACAACTATGTTCTTATTGGTGATTACAAATATGTTTTGAAGGACATTTCAGAGACTTAAAACAAAACTGACTAAAAATATACAACCTCATAATGATAAACATACTATCTTAAAATAAAATAAATGTAATATGCCCATCCATGCCATGTGTTTGCTTTATTCTAATTAAAAGATGTACATTAATCTATTTATCATTTATTTTTAATATTGCACAAAATATTTTAGCCATACTTTAGAAGCTTTGAAATTAGCACTTTTCATTCAACTTCAATTAAACTATTCTGCCATTGTATTTATTGCCTCTCTTGAACTGCTATAAATCAAGTACAGTATTAGTATTAGAAGCCACCATAGAAAATACTGTAACTATAAACTATTTGATACTCCACATTGATGGTAGATTTCCAAAATATAATTGTAATCACATAAGTAATGCAATATATTTATTACATGCTGAAACTATAATGTGAGCATGAGGCATAGATGCATTAAGTAAGAGAAGAGTAGGAGGTGATTTAAAAAATGGTTTTGGGTTTTGTAATCAATAACATTGTACTTGCTGATTCAGATGTTGCTATGTATGCTGGCTTTATTTTTTTAAATCCAGATTTTTATCTGTAAATCTGAAAGAGCTTGAACCGTAGGTCCTTCATTCCAATGCCTTTCATTCAGATTGGGGTTTTTTTAAAAGAAATAATATTTTTTATAAGAGTCCCTGAAGGAAATACTGACTCTAAAGCAGAGGTCTCCAACCTTTTGGAGGTTGGAGGGACCAGTTCTGTGGAGAGAGGTTTTTCTGTGGACCAGAGAGTGTGTAGTTTTGTGTGCTGCCTGCATCCCACAGATGGGGCTTTGCTTGTTTGTGGAGACCGGTTGCTGGCATGCCGTGGCCCAGTACCGGACCACAGACTGGGGGTTGGGGAGCCCTGCTCTAAAGTATGCCTTCCTGCTTATCCTGTCCATGATGAGAGACTGACTGAATATGTGCCATCAAATTGGTGTCACCTCTCACTGACCATCTAGATTTCAGTGAGGATAATCTGTCCTTCCGGTCCTGCATCAGTCACTATAATTAAGTCCATCCACCTTACTGCTGATTATTTTATTTTTTCTTCCAACTTTCCTAGCTTTATAGACTTGTCTAGAGAGCTAGGTCTTTGTATAATACCAAGTCATCTGCAAATGTTTGCAGTTTATAAGTTTCACCTTTTATTTCTAGTTCTTTAATTTCTGGGTCTTGTCTAATATTTCTATTTAAAACTTCCAAGGTTAAAATAAATAACAATGGAGATTGTGGACATCCTTGTCTTGTGCCTTTTCTTATGTCAAAATTCTCTGTATAATCTCCATTTACAATCACTTTTGCTATTTGTTTGTAATATATTGTTTTAATCATATTTATTAAATTTTGTCCAAAGTCCATTGTTTTTAGTTGTTGAGTCATAAACTGCCAAGAAACATTATCACATGCCTTTTGAGCACCTAGAAATATTAATGCCAATTATTTCCCTGGATGTATTTCATAATATTCTAACATGTTCATTATAACTCTTGAATTATTTTTTATTTTTCTCTCTGGTAGAAATCCATTTTGATCTGGATGTATAAATTCAGTTAGAAATCTTTTCAGTCTCTCCACTATTATTGAAGTGAAGATTTTATAGTCCACATTTAGTAATGATATCGGTCTGTAATTTTTTTATCTGTGTCAGGTCTAAGTCCTCTTTTGGTATCAAAGTAATATTTGCTTCTGTCTGTGTGTTTGGAAGTTTAGCCTCCAATAAAAATTCATTACACACATCTTTCAACAGTACACTTAATATATCTTGTAGACATTTGTAAAACTCTGCCGGAAGCCCATCTGGTCCTGATGTTTTATTGTTTTTTTGTCTTTTTATAGCCTCTGTCAGTTCCATCATTGTTATTTTCTCATTTAACATGGTTTTAAAGTTTTCTGGAATTTTTGGTAAATTATTTCTTTCCATATATTGAATCGTTTTCTCCCATGAAATTTCTTCTATATCAGGGGTGTCAAACAGGCAGCCTGCAGGACGGATGCATCATAGCGAAACCATGCCCAGCAATGGCAAAAAAGTTGCGATATGTCGCGATATGTCACGTGATGTTGCAAGTTTGACACCCCTGTTCTATATCATACATTCTTGTAATATTCTTTAATTATTTTTTATTGCTTCATTTTTAAATTGTAAACAGTCTTTTTCACCTACTAAGTTGTTTATCAATTTTTTCTCCTTCTGTTTTTTAAGTTTGTAAGTTAGCCATCTTCATGGTTTATTTGCATTTCCAAAAAGTTTTGTTTTGCTCTTTTAATTTTCTGTGCCAATTGTTCTGATTCTATTAAATTTAATTTATGTTTTATTATTTCCATTTGTCTTTTCAGTATTTTCTTTTGTGGATTTATTTGTAGTTCTAATTCTAGTTTTTTTAAATACTTCCCTTAACAGTATATATTGTTGTCTTTTTTCTTTGTTTTTTTCGCCACCATGTATGTTATGGCTACACCTCTAAAGTATGCTTTGGCTATATCCCATACATTTTGTAATGTTATATCTTCTTTTTTATTTTCTTTACAAAAAGCTCATTTCTTTTGTTGCTAATTCTATAAATTCTTTCTCTTTTAATATGGATTGGTTCAAGGTCCATCTTAATTTTTTTGGTATTCCTTACAGGATTATGGTCTGTCGAAGTGCCTAATTCTATCTCAATCTCCTGCATATTAGTTCTTAAATCAGGCATCATCCAAACCATGTCAATTCTGGACCAAGATTTATGGCTATTCGAGTAGAATGTATATTGTAGTTTTGCTGGATTAGTTTCTCTCCAAGTATCTTGTACACCAATTTCCTCTACCATGTTAAAAAAAGTGGTGAATACAACTAGTGTGATTTATATTTTATTGCATTAAGCAAACCCAGCTAGTTAAAAGTTATCCAGGAATCCATGGTTAAAACATACTATGGCTTAGAATAATGTATGAACTTAGTCACGCAGAATAGACTTTATTAGTGGCTGAATTAACTACTGTTTGCGGTTAGTCTGTCCAAGTGTATCTGGGAAATAAAACACATGAGCAAACTCAAAACAGTCATCCTGTTTTTCTCTATCAGCCCCTAAAGAAAGGAGAATGTGTCTATCAAAGTCTATACAACATTTAATGATAAGGAGCTTCTTACCCTATCTGACTAGTCCATGTGGCAGTGGAAGTTAGTAACCGTAAAATGCCATCTTCTCTTGAAGCCTGCTTGCAATGGAAATGTGGCTTTCCTCTGAGATATATTTGAATTGCTATCTTTGATGTAAGCAAGTGTGGACCAGGACTCAGTTTATTATTTGAAATATATAGGGACGAACTCTTTTATGCTGAAGCTGTGCAATGCAGGTGTGCATATTTGTCAAATGCTTTTTGGAAAATAGTGACATTACATTGGATACAAAAGGGGTGAAAGAAGTGTCAACCATTGCATTACAAATGGATAATGGATAAATGCCAGCTGAATGTTCATGGCACGGGTGTCAAATTGGATCATATCACGTGACGTATCGTGATGTTTTTTGCCTTTGCGGAGCTGGGGTGAGCATGGCCTGCAGGTGACCCGTCCGACCCGTGGGCCGCCAGTTTGACATCCCTGGTTCGTGGCTATTGCACAACAATTGGTACATATTCATAATGAACAGAGTTATGCTGCCTATAAGTTTTAAAGGTTTTACCTTGCTAGGCATAGGCAATGAACACCATTTAAGACAGGGGTCTTCAAACTTGGCCCTTTTATGACATGGATTTCAACTCCCAGAATTCCTCAGCCAGTGTGCCTGGCTGAGGAATTCTGGGAGTTGAAGGCCACAAGTCATAAAAGGGCCAAGTTTAAAGACCCCTGATTTAAGACTTCAGGGGCCAGTTATGTTAGTTGAATACATAAGTGGTTGGTTCACAAACATGCTGAACTTAAAACAGGAATAGCTGGTTCACACAACAGAGTAAGTGAGAACAAATATTATGGTTTAGTCTAATGTCTGAGCCCAATAACTGAGAAGAGCAGAGAAGCAACTGAGCTAACAGCTTCAGCTTTGAGTGATTGGCTGATGTAATTGATGTAGAAGTGACACAGCCAAATAGGTTTAGATGGCAGATTCAGTATGAATTATGAGTGGAGTGGATGGGTCTCATTTCAGTAGGCAGGGCCAAAAAACTACTCTTCAGTCCTTTGAGGAATAAGAAGATTTTGCTCTAAAACACAATCTCTTTGGGGCATAGATTCTTTTGAGAGTATGAGACTAATGGATTCCTTTTCAGAAAAACACGAGTTTTAAAAAATAAAATAAATAAAAAAATAAAATAAAATATGCAAGACTACAAAGGAAGCTGATTCTGATTAGCAAAATCTAGCTACAGCCCCACCAGGTTGAAGAAGCCGTGCTCAGAAGTGTATAGCACATCACCTTTATGCCTACATTTTCAAGAGCTGTTTTATTGGCAGATGCTTGTTCAATATGCAAAGTCATGTTTTGCTTCAATAGAGCTTACTTAATAAACCACAGTTGGATGGCTTCACCACAAAATAAGCCTATGCTGGATAAATTCATAGAAGCTAAACCGAGACCGAAAAAACCACCTTTGGCATAGCACTTTAAAGGAACCGCTCTCAGTTTGAATGAGGCAGTGCTTGAATACCCGAGGACCAGCCGGTACTTTAAGCACAAAACAGCCTTCAATCCTCTTGGGCCCAGCTTCCTGGTGCCTCCTTAAGAGAAAGGAGAAAGGGGCGGGCGAATTCCTTCACGCTCCTCCTCCTCCTGGCTAATTCACTTGCCTTACAAGGCTATAGCAAGAAGGTCTTTATCCACGGAGGGAATCGAGCAAGCGCTGGAATCTCTGGAGCTTCGTGAAGGCAGAAGGAACAACGGCAGGAAGTTTTTTTGGAAGCATCAGGGCTTTCTGCGGAATTTCAACAATCAAGAATCCTTGGGATCTCTGCCCAGCCTGTCCCAGTGGGGAGAATCAAGGAACTCTCCACAACTAAAGCGGAGCACGCAAGGAACATTCTGCACTGCAGATCATCACTGTGGAGTGGAAATGCCTTGGAGAGGTACATCGTTGGGAAATTTTACGGGTGGACGTTGCTGTTGCCTTTGCATTGACTGAGAACAGATTGAATAAGATTAACTGCCCCGTCGGGAGCTTTGTTTATAAACATAGTGGCACACTTAATTATGGTTTATCGGTTAATTTGATTTTATAGGTTCGCCTGGCACAGTGGAACATAGATAATTTCTCACGGTTCTGGGTTTGCAGAAGAGACTAGGCTAAAATATGGTTGGCACATTTGTGTTGCTGTGTGATTTGTGAAGAGAGCTATAGTGTCTAATGCCTAAGTAGGTTTCTAATTCCCTGTATCAGGTTCCAGCGGGAAAGTTATGTATTTTGGCTACATGCAGTCCCTGTAGAAATCGGTATAGGGTGGCATTGGATGCTGTTATGCTTTAACTCTCAGTTTAGTGGTATGTGTGTTTTGAGGACATTCCTTGGATATTCAGGGTTGTACTCTTTACCTCAATATTGATTAAATATTATTTTATCAGTAATGGATTGGCTGGAAATGTTTTCTGTGTCCTGTGAGAAACTTTTAAAGTAACTCTTGGTGCCTGTGTTAAATATTCAAGTCACACTTCTGACTAAGAGGAGTATTTGAGTATGTTAAAACATAAAGTCAGTAGAAATGGAAGTCAAGGAAACGTGTGTCCTTGCAGAACTGAGAAATAATGTTGTATAGCCATGTCAATTTATTTTAGATGGAGATAAAAAAATGAAACAAAAAGGCTTGGGTGTTTTTTTGTCTCCTAAAACATGACATTGATAGAATGTCATCTTTGGTGAAGAAACTGTCACTATTCCTTTTTTTTTTCTTTGCTTCGGCAAGTGATATAATATGGCATGCCTATTTCTTTTGATGTCATTACCACTGAACATTGGTGTTTGCCTGTCTGTATGTTGTCCTGCTTTGCAGAAAACAAGATGCTTTCAAATGTTATTTCAAGATTCCATTAATTTGTTTTTATAACTGCTGATTTTTAAGAGTGTGTGTGAGGCTGTTTCCAGACTCATGTGCCCTGTTCTATCATTAAAAAGATACTCTGCAGCTTTTCTGTCTTAATGGATTTTTTCTGATTTTTCTTTAAGCAAAAGGCAATTGAAATGGAAATACATAGAATAGTGACAAAACAAATATATCATTTTCTGGATCTTCTGTAAAAATTCCACCTTGAAGGCAAATGATAAAAGTTTGTCTGGAAACACCCTTCAGAAAATTAAGTTTATAAAAATGTGTGTTTGCATCTTCCGTTGTTTTTGCAGAAATCTTGAGGTCCACCATGTGATTGTGTATTCAGAAGAGTTTACTTCCATATTTTCAAATGCTGATAAAATTGCAACCATGAGCACATTTATCTATATGTAAGCTCCACAGGAAAACAATTTGATTCAGCCTTCCTTGATTGGGTTCCTTACTTAATGCTGGTTTGGAATTCTGGGAGTTATGATGCTAATACAGCTGGAAGGCATCAAGTTAGAGAAAGCTACTTTGAACAACCAGGCATCAGATAATGCTGCGCATTGATTTCAGCATAAACTAACCTTTATCAGGAAGCCAACATGAACAGCTATTGATTACAGTTGGATAATTTCTTGTTCATTTGTCAATCAGGGATCTCCAACGAACATCTTTACTGAAAATTGCAGCGAAGCAGTATCCCGCAAAGACATTCTCTAGGTATAGATTCCTCTCCAGGTGACCCAACAATGAAATCCTGAAGAAGACTTTACCCAGCATGTTTGAAGATCAGTGATAGGATGGAAGTGCTCCGACGTTCTTCTGTCTTTGCTGCAGAGGTGATGGAAGTGTTTGACCGGACTCCCACCGACAAGGAGCTTGTATCTCAAGCCAAGGTGCTTTGCAGGGACTACATTCACTCCAGGCTCATTCGGGCTGGAATTGGCTGGAATAAGCCTGAGCACAGCTCACCTGTTCCAGTGGGCAAGTTAGCAGAAGTGTCCAGCATACTTTTAAGGTTGGGTAAGTGCAAAAATGGACGAAAGCTATGCCTGGCTAGATATGTTAGAATGGCGTTGTGCTTGTGATACTTCTGCTCTTTTCTCCAAAAGTTACCTGTAGTCTTATTCATCCCTTATGTCAGTGGTTCTCAACCTTTTTAATGCCGCGACCCCCAACCGGTCGTAAGTTGAGGACTAAACCGGTCGTAAGTCGAGGACTAAACCGGTCGTAAGTCGAGGACTACCCAACCGGTCGTAAGTCGAGGACTTTCCCTGCCCGGGAGCGCCACGCATGCGTGGTTCTGCCCCCTGCGCCGGCCGAGGCGTAGCTGGCAAGCGGCAGAGACGGAGCAGGCCGACCACCAGCTGGCCCAGCTCAAGGGAGGTAAGGCACCCGCCGGAAAAGGGGGGAAAAAATGGCGGACAGCCTTGCTTGGTGACCCCCGTGAAATGGTTGATCGACCCCAAATGGGGTCATGACCCATAGGTTGAGAACCGCTGCCTTATGTTGAGATCACCTAACAATTGTTTGCCTCTTGTTTCTTTCTATCCTTGTGACACAAAGGCTCTCTCTTCTTCTCAGGGTCCAAAATGGCAAAATCTATCCCATCCTCCCCTGCATTTAGTGAAAAGAGAGGCAAATGTACAGGATTTGTTAATAAAGACATTTGTCTGTATTTTTGGCGCCCTTCCTATTTTCTCACCATGGAAAACATGTCTATCTGATTTGTAGTGCTAGTTGGCCAAGGGCTGCATTAGCAGATGTTGTATATCTGCTAATATTTGAAGAAGTACTTAAAAACAGGCTTTTCTTCAGTTATGGAAGAGGGAGAAAAGAAGGACGAGGTAACATGTTTTTTGATTCTTGGCATGTATGTCTGCCTGAGGAACAAAAGTGAAACATAATATATAAATAAAGCAAGCTTTTGTCAGGCTTCAAAAAATATTTAACTAAAGGCAACATCCAGGCTATGAATGTGTGTGTGTGTGTGTGTGTGTATGTATGTATATAATTACAATCATATATTCTAATATCTTGTATTCCTAAATCAGGTATCCCCACCATTCAGGTCCTTTAAAATAATTTCTTACTGGGTTCAAGGAACGTATAAAACAAAATTCTTCCGGGCTGGAATCCTCATGAGTATGCCTATTCACTATCTGTGCATGCAGAGGTTTGTCATGTAAGATAGAGCTGCAACCTTATTTATTTTTAATACTGCAATTTATAGGCAGCTTGGATCTGAAAAGGCTCTTATGAGCTCAACTAAGGTGCAAAACAACCTACCTACATTGTCTTGAGAGAGATATTGAATAGAAATACACATTTTGATATCATTGCCATATCAGAGGTATCTCTTCAGCGTCTTGGTTTTCTGAACTTCTCTGTAATAGATCAGACTTGCATCTGTTCTTGCCAAGAGCAAACTAGCTTCCAGTTCTCCTTGAACCAAGCTGTGATAAGCATCACATGTGCTGATGGCAGTTACAATGGACACGTCTCACTATAGCATACAGGCTATCTGCTTTCATTTGGTCTGAGTTTGTGAGTCCATTTTGTTGAGTGCAGCAGCCTTCCTACACCTTCCTACAGTTTATTGAAAACAAAGGTATAGTCTGTCCCTCATGCTCTCGGACTGGCTTGGGCTGTGCCAGGACTAGCCCTAGATTATCCAAGAGTAGTAAGAGATGGCTTCTAGGGTTTCAGATGTCATGCAAGAGCAATAAGTTATTTTCACAATTGTTCGTATGGATGAAGAGGGAGTTGTATGTGCTGGATGTTATGCATTGAATTCCAAAAGAGCTTTGTTAACCCTTTTTTATTCCCAGACTAAGAGGGTTGTGCATGAGAGTTCATAACAAGACAACAATTTGGTTAGAGGTGTTTTAGGCTTTATTTCTTGAGCTGAATTTGAAATTTGCTGCTTTTGTGGGCACCTATTAGCCAATACCTAGAAAATTTTACTTTCTTCTACAAAGTTTGAAGGGGAATAGAAACTATTTCTGGTGTCGTTATTGTTTGTCCAGGTTTTTTTTCCTGTGATATTAAACTTCAGTAGTGCTAATGATGTACACAAAGAGGCCAAATAGCCTTTCTCAGCATGTTTATTTGATTATTATCTACCTCACACTAATGACCTTTATTAATTACAACATCCCCCCAAAAAGTGGCCATAGGATTAAAGCAATTTATAATCCAAATTGCAAAAACAAAAAGAGAGAGAAAAATAATAAGAATTACTAGTGGTACTACTAAGACGTTTTTTTCTCTTTTTTATATTATTTTTTATAAAACACAAGTAGTACATTATATTATTTGGATACAGTGGTATTTATACAATATTGATTAGAAATTAAGATCACTCTGATGGTTAGATAACTTTAACTTTTAAAGATAAAGAAAAAAAATAATATTAACTCTAATTTCTAAATGTTATAACATTGCTTACATTTTACATTTAAAGCTGAATTTGCAATAAATATGTGCAAAGTACATAAAATTATGTCATATACGTGATTTCATGAATTGGTCCAACCTTTTGTGAAGCCGGCCAAGGTGGTAGCTACCCCGTATTCTTTGGTATCAAATTCCTAAATTTAATTAATGATATCCTCGGTTTGGAACATCAGTTTTAAGAGTTGAACATGCAATAACATCTTTGTACAGTTGATTGTTATCCTCCACTACTTTTAAACTCTATCCTCCAGGTTGAGAGTTATATCATAAAGGGTCAGAGAGCTTGATATGTCATTTTTAGTCCATCCTGGTGATAGTAGCAATTTTAATTTTTTCTACAATATCCTTTACGGCAGAATTTGTGTTTTGGGGGAAGGGGTGAATTACTTTTATTTCCTTCTTGCTGTTGTTCTTTCCATCTATTTTCTTAGTCTAATTGTCCTGTTATTTTTCTTGGATTTTGCACCCTTTCATTTAATTGCTGCACAGAAATATCGAGCTTGCCTTCCATTGATTATGTTGGTGTTAAATATTTAAATAGGAGAGAGATGTTGATACAACACTTGAAGGTGTCTACTTGATAATCATCTTAACTATTAAATCCAGTTAAAACCGGAATGAAATGTACAATAGATTGAGTTAGGATTAGCATTAAATGAAATCAAATTCACACTGAAATACATATACTACCGAACCCCCTGTTCGGTAAGTCAGACCTGCTCTAGTTTAATGCTGTTTCTCAAACTTGGCAATGTTAAGGTGAGTGGATTTCAACTCTCAGAATTCCAATTCTTCTGAAAATTGAAGCCCAATCATCTTAAAGTTGCCAAGATTGAGAAATACTACTTTAATGAAAATAACTGAGAATTGCATAGTGGGCAAAAAAGTATGATGATGATTGCTATTTTCCCGTTACAATGACCTCAATAGACTTGGTGCTAATTTAATATTTTTAAATTATTTTAGGCAATTATTTAGAAACATTTCAGTACTAAAACTTTGGCTGATACTGTAAATAATGTAGATGACAGTGAACTTGTGATAAAAAGTTGTACTTGAATGACATATTCATAGTTACATTAAACTTAGTTAATGGAGAAAATATATAAGATTTTGGGGTCATCTAGTTTGTGATTCAACACTTCATGCAAATCCAGTCATCAAAATGTTCCAGTACAGATTTTAGGAAGAAAAGCTCAATCTATCTTGAGTGAAAATCTCAGTGCCTGTTAGATATTTTCTCAGCCTACACTCCCCCCTCTTATAGCCACTACTACTTCCCAGATCAGATAATCACCACAACTACTAATAATTTAAAGCAAGGCAACCTTGGCAACATTATTACTTGTGGACTTCAACTATCAGAATTCCCCAGCCAGCTTGAGTTGAAGTCCACAAGTCTTAAAGCTGCCACGTTGGACACCCCTGATTTATAGTCTTTTAAACTTATCTCAGTTGGTGGTCATTATTATAATAAATTACAGTGAAATCACAGAGTTTCCCAAAGTCTTTCCTTTTATTTATCCAGAATGTCTTACCATTCAGCTTCAATGGATAATTTGTATCATATGTCACTTCCTTTTTTTAAAAAAGAACTAAACATCCAGAAATACTGTAACTTTCCTTATAAAGGCACTGATCAAGCTCTCTTCTTGATTTAGTTTCCCTTTCTTGAGATTGATCATCAAACAGTATTCTTAATAATGATTATACTTAATATTCCAGATCTGGTTGCAGACAGCTTTGCTAAAGAGTTACGGTCGTTTTCTTTGCTTTCTTACTTCCCTAACATGGAGTTTGCCCTCAGACTCAAAAGCTGGTCTTTTTCTGAATTTGTTGATGAATTTATGATATTGGATCCCCACTATGGTCCGACTAGGGCCAGTGATGGCGAATCTTTTAGAGACCGAGTGTCCAAACTGCAACCCAAAACCCACTTATGCATCGTCGAGTGCTGGGTGGGTGTGGCCCATTGGGTGGGTGTGGCCCATTGGGTGGGTGTGGCCCATTGAGTGGGCGTGGCCACAGTGGTAACGGCAGACTGGGTGGGACTAAAAAGTTCAATCAATCAATTTCAACTTTGCAAGATCTTTTTTTTTTCCGCAAGAAGTTGAAATTGACTGATTGAAACTTTTTTTTTTTTGCACACGGCGGCGGAGGCCTAAAGCGAAAAGGTTTTATAAAACCCAGCTGAAAGCCTAGGACTGGGGTGACGGTGCCTGTGCGCACAGAGAGGGCTCTGATTGCCGCCTCTGGCACCCGTGCCATAGGTTCGCCACCACTGGACTAGGCAATTGGTGTGCCTGCTAAGATACATTCTTTGGCACCTATCAAATTCCCTGTCCTCCCTATTTTTTGATTTTATTGAAATAATGCATTGGAACCAGGCATGCTACAAAGCAAAATGTAGCTTCCGGTATAATCTGTATTTCCAAAAATGCTTATAAGTCATAAATAAATCCTAGAGGCATTCTTATAAATTTAATTAAGAGGCGACTGGAGCACAATGCTGTTTTTTTTATTTGTTTGTTTTTTTCTGTGTGAAACTTCCACACCTGATTGTCATGGCAGATGTCAGAAATCATTTTGGAAGAGTTACAATACAGTCTCAGTATTCCAAATGTGCTCAAACAGCCTAGGGAAGCCTGATCTCAAGATTCTCTTAGTCACCAGCTGTCAACTCAGACTCCATCAGTGTATGAGTGAATTTAGGGGTGGGGGTAGGGAGTATGCAATCCTTGTAGACTTGAACTGCAGAGCGCTTGCTGTTTTATTCCCACACCTTGGAGATTAGCTTTTTGGAGCTCTCTGCATTGTCTTTTTGTACTTTTTTACATTCTAAAATTATGTGTGAAAGCAGGAGATTGGTGCTATATTCACATTCATGGAAAAGTGAGTGATGCAGATATGTAAATATTTTAAAGCTTTGGGTAGTGCCATAGGCAGTCTGCCACAATTAGAAGGCCTTCTCTCCCAAGCAAAATAATCAACTTATATGACAGCAAATAGCTTTCCCTAGGAGTTTCAGTTATATCTCATCCAAATGTGGTTTTATTTTTCTCAGAAGCTGCCGTCCTTGATTTCCTGCCTTTTTTTGCTTTATTTCATGAAGGAGTTTTACACACTCTGGGCAGAAAGTTCTTATTCTCAGAAAAAGCTAAGTTCCTTATCAGGCTGTGCATGTATATGCCATGTTTCCTTTCTCTCTTTTTTATCAGATTACATGGAACAATTTAGCCCTTCAGAGGGTCAAATGTTACAGCTTTCTGCCAAATATTTCATAAGTTGGTTTAAATGAGATTTCCAAAAGATTGTGTAAGTAACACATAAAACAAAAGAGAGGAATGGAGGGAGAAATGGCTTTCATGTAGAGAGCTATTTATTTTATTACTTAAAAAAACCCATTTAAGCCATTCTTCAAATATAAAACTCCCAGGTTGTTATTCACTGTATAAGATGAATAAAATATAATACCAATAGATTTTCAAAAAAAAGAAAGTATAAGACTTTTCAACCAGCAACTTAATTTTTTCAATAAGTATACCATTTTTCTGTTTAAGTGAGAAGTCAAAGCAGCTGGCAACAATTAAAATATAGAATATTAAAAGCTAGAAGAACTAATGCTAAAATTAATTAATAATGAATTATCAAGAAAAATACATTTTGGTTTCTCTGTAAAAGCTAGTGATGGCCAAGCACAATTCCTGAAGCAGTACATTCCAGATGTAGTTAAGATTTAATAATTCCTGGGGTTGAGCTTGATTATTCGTGACTACATAGCCATGTTGATATAATATTTTTGGCAGCATGCAGAATGGTTTGCCATTGCTTTCTTCCAAATTCCACATAGAAGACAAGATTTTAATATTAACTGAAAATGCCTGTCAGAGGAAAGGAGTTCACACTGATTTGATGCTGAAAAGAAAATATAGATAAATCTTCCTATTGATGAATGATGCTCTGGCACATATGAAAGAAGAACTAAATGCATATTTACCATGTTCAGAACTGGCTAGTAGCTAGTTCAAACTGGTGGTGAAGATGTAGGATCCAAGACAGAGAAATGAGTGGATAGAAAATGGCAACAGTTATCAATGTTTGTACAATGGGAACAGATAGGTGTGGAACACAATAGGTTCTCATCCAGCAAATCTAACAGCTGGTCCATCTAAGTGTATTTTTTATACACTGATTAGTGGTGGCTCTTGAGGGTTGTAAATTAGATTATTTTCTCGTTGTACTACAGTAATAGCTGTCAGGACCTGAGCTTCTGACTTTTCACCTGCAAAACAAGAGCACTATGCCTACTGAGATGGTACTTGCAAAATGTCTGGAGAAGTTTGTGGAATTGATGGAGCTGGAGATTTGTTCCCAGAGATTCTCCTTTTGCAAAGATAACAAACACCCCTGGCTGCTTCCAACCTCTTTGTGCTCACTCCAATTTTTAAAAAATATTTGATGATGTTGAGAAAGTTGATGTTGGATATGGCCTTTTCTGGGTGAGATAATCTTTCTCCTATGCTTCTGTGGGAAGGGTATATTGAGGATCAAGGAGAGGCTGCCAAGCTAGGGAGAAGTCAGAGAAATAAATAAGGTTCCTGATTTTAGCACCTCATGTCTGCCCTAGTGTGAAATAGCTAGTGACACATTAGTCTGCTTGATGAATGTTTCACAGCTTCAGGCAAGCCATAAACTTTTATCATGTTCCAACCATGGAAATCTTTTTTTTTTTTTTTGCTTCAGATGAGGTTGACAGATTGCTTTAATGGGATACACCCTTTTTTCAACAATGAAAAGTTAATCCTCATTTTGTCTGGGGTCCTAGTGGAAGATTATCACATTTTTAGCCATATCTGAAGCAAAACAATACCACATTTCTAAAGATATTGGGGGCAAGTTTGAACAAAATATTATTTTAAACATTTGAATCCAGAGCTTTAGCTTTAAAGATGATTAAAAACAAAAACATAAGCAAGAAAATCTGGTAAATCGTAACCACACAACTGAATAGTAAAAAAATATATCAGACTAGCATAATATAAAGCTGATGTACCCTCCCCCCATCCGGTTGCTCTTAATCCTTTTTTTTTAAAATAGCATCCAGTGAATCACATAAAATCAGGATTAAGACATAGATTATATTGTCTTTTGCTCTCCATGCTAACATAAGTGCAGAAGGGCACTTTGCCATTTTTCCAATAGAGGAAAAAAATCTTGCTTTTTGAATTGAAAGTAGCAGCCTCATCTTAAGAAATATCATGTTTGCCTCTTTCAGTTTGATAATCCTTTTGTTGTGTTGGGAGTATAAAATCAGAGTTCCCAGCACAGAGGCCAGTTGTAGGAACGGCTGCCCTGATCTTTTAGAAAATTGTCAACAGCCCTTTTTTGTTACTTCTTTTTTATTTTATTAGTTTATAATATAAAATACAAAACTACAAAAGAAAACAGTGGGAAAAAAGGAAGGAAGAAGGGAAGGGAAAAGTGTAGGGCAAAGGGAAAAAAAAGAAAAGGTGTTATTTCTCACAAGAACATGCACACACACACAGTATGAAGGTCAAAATACATGACTCGGTTTCACTTCTTGTGGATGTTTGTAGTTGCATGTCTACTTTTAGATGTAAATACCACATTAGGGCAACACCTCTTTAGGTCAAGTCAAAGTCGCAAAACAATTCTCTGAAGGATCAGAGGAATGAAGAAATAAACAGTGATTGACTTTCAAGTCCTTGATCTGACGTGATTTGTAGAAACATTTTTAGAGCTATTTTTTTTAGTTTATTTACACAATGTTTGCATTAGAGGAATATGCATTGAATGTATATCTTATGAACAAANGGGAATAGATGCTTATGAAGCACAGGCTAAGGAGGTCACCCCAGAGTAGGAAACAAAGACACTCACTGCCAAAAAGCATTATACAACTGATTGAATTGAGAATATTTTCAACTATTTTAATTTGGGTACTAATGTTAGGTAGCTGTTGTTTAATTTGTATCTTTTCTAGGTTGGCTGCAGGTCTATCATACTATATCTCATCTCATGATAAAAGTCAAATCATGAAAATGACCCCCAGATATCTTAGCTGTGCTCATTTTGCCTTTCTAAAGCACAGATTACTAGTCTCCTGTTTTTTCTTTATCCTTTGATATTCTCATTAAGACTTTATTCTCAGGGCTACCCAGGGAAATCCATCTGTCAAGGGAAACCCATCAGGTAATAAGGAGAGGTGTGGTCTTTCTACTAATGGCACACAATCTGTGGCACATTATTCTTCCTAGTTCGCATTGGGAATGGTCCTGTCTCTGCTGAAAATTAGACACTCCCACTAATGATATTACCTATTGGGTAATGAAACATCTGCAAGCAAACAGTGAGGTTCAGAGAGCTCCAGCGACTCACTGTATGTATTTATTTAAAAGATTTGCTTTGCTGCCCATTTTAGAACCGTAACTCTGGGTGGCTCACAACAATTATATAAAACCAACATCATACAAAAAATAAAGGTAAAAAAGCAACACAAACAGAAACAAAGAAATCTGGTGCCACAACAAATTCCCTTTGATGGTGCCAATAGTGCTGTATTCCCTCTTTGCCTTCACCCAGTCCCAACATTTTAGCTATTATGTAAGAACATGTTATTAGCTTTATGCTTTCATCCTATAATTTTATTGATTTTTGTGAATTTGCATCCAGTTTGAATGTCTTAACAGAAAGTAGGATTCAGATATTTGAATAAATATGTTTTGCATGTGTATAAAATGCTTTTTTATGTTTCTTTTTTTAGGGGATGAACTGGAGTATATCAGGCCCAATCTTTATCGAAACATAGCACGGCAGCTAAACATATCTCTACATTCAGAAACTGTGGTGACGGATGCATTCTTGGCTGTGGCCACTCAAATCTTTTCTTCAGGTGATGTATTAAAATGCAAATGTACGGGCAGAGGAAAGAGAAATTAGAGAAGGCAGTGTGTGTGGGGCATAGCAGTTGCTGGTCAGTGGAGTGAGTGGAGGCCACTTGGCAAAGAATACCACTGGCATAAGCAACGAGGTAATGGATGTTGCACTAAAGATATAATGTAAGCCAAATGCACATTTTTCTTGGGTAAAGAAATATTTGGACCTCTCCCTGTTTTCTGTCTTCCAGAAAGGGAGCCTCTTTAATGTCAAGTGATTATTTTTATACGTTCCTGGCAACTGCTATGTTTGCTACAGACAGTTCTGTTTTTCTCCTCTCTTTGGTTTGTGAGATTGTATATGCTCCTGGCTACAGAATGAGCTTCATTTTACTCTGTTTGTTTCTCAAGTAACAAACAGTAAGAAAAAGTCTATATGGAAAATCAAGGAGTATCATTATTTGAGCTTCTTGTCTTTATTCCAGAGACTCATGTTTTTGCCCTTGTCTAATATATATCGCAACACTGTGAAATAGGCTAAGTTTTGTGTCACTTTTGTGTCCCATTTCAGATCTGATTTATAGCATTACACTGGGTGTTCATAACAGTGGGATTCATTTTTTCTCTAGCTCTGCACCAATTTATTTGAAATCAGAACAAAGCTAGTCTTGAAATGATAATGTAGCCCTGCAAGGCAGTGTATATTTCTGACTGGAATGGAGTGGATATATTCAGCCTCCAGTTCCTGGGCAGGCTGTTCCTTGCCATAAAAAATTTGGTGTTGACTTCCTGAAGACTGTCTGCAATGGTAAGAGTTTATCTCCTCACACGCAAATTAGTGGTTGCAAAATGGCTGATAAGTTGTTCTTTCACGTTCAGAGCTATTTCAGAGATTAACAGAAGGAAATGCTTTTTCACAAGAACAGGGTTACTGTGAAATTTATTCTCAGTATTATGATAGCCATTTGGCTGGTTAGAATAAGACTGGACATTTTCATGGAGAATCAGACTTATCAGTGATTCTTGTTTACTACCTGCTGAATTATAGGCAGCACAGCTTAAATTCTTGTTGCTGAAAGCAACAGCGGAAGGGACAATCACTCTTCAGTCTAGGTTGGGAACTTATCAATACATCCAGCTGGCCACTCTGTGCCAGACAGAACTATAGTAGATGTGCATATGACTTCTTCTAGCAGGTTGGTTATTATTTCCATGCATTTTTCAGTGCAGCAGAGGCAAGTCATTGTACTTATGTTAAGTTTAAAAAATACATTGAACCTTCTCTTACATCAGGGGTATCAAACTGCCAGTCCGCGGGCCGGCTGTGTCACATGGAAGCCATGCCCACCCCATTGCCGGCAATGGCAAAACAGTCCCGATACGTTGAGCAACATCACATGACGTCGCGGGTTTGACACGACTATCTTACATTGTTTCCATCATACATACATGGGAAGCGGTAGAGATTCAATGTCATTCTTTCACTTTTCTGCATGTCATATGGGGGGGAATAGTGATTGATTCAAGATGATCCCTGTGTATTCTCAGCATTTTGAGGATAACAAGTGAAAAATATCATTGATTAGTTTCAAATTTCTTTATGAGAAGTGAAAATGGTATGGTATGGAAGTAGCCATAAAGGTTTTATCTACATAACATGCTCAGCAGGGCTCTGTCTTCATCATGGTTAAGGTACTGATTTATCAAACATTAGACAGACTGAAGGTTCCCTTGGTTTGCTACACCCACTCCTTTTGGACCTCGTAATTGGTGATGATTATCACTTTCTACTTTCAATTCTTTGTAAATAACAAAAACCTGTAGTTGTCTGACCCAAAATGAAGTAATTACATTTGGGATTCAGGAAAGCTAATATTACACCAATCCTCTTATTTTCAAAATATTAATGCTTATATGGCCATAGGGCAGTGGTGGCGAACCTATGGCACGGGTGCCAGAGGCGGCACTCAGAGCCCTCTCTGTGGGCACGCACGCCGTCGCCCCAGTCCTAGGCCTTCAGCTGGGTTTTATAAAACCTTTTTGCTTTAGGCCTCCGCCACCATGTGCAAAAAAAAAAGAAAGGTTCAATGCGTCAATTTCAGCTTCTCGCGGGGAAAAAAAAGATCTTGCAAAGTTGGAATTAATTGATTGAACTTTTTAGTCCCACCTAGTCTGTCGTTACCACCACACCCACACCCACCCAATTTGCCACGCCCACCCAATTGGCCACACCCAGCCAATGGGCCACACCCACCCGGCACTCGACGATGCATAAGTGGGTTTTGGGTTGCAGTTTGGGCACTCAGTCTCTAAAAGGTTCGCCATCACTGCCATAGGGCTTTCATTACTTTGTACCTAACTATAGTACAAACATGCTGGCATTTTTTCCTATGTCTCTATCATGTAATTCTCATTTCATCGCTGAGACATGAATGAGATGGGTTTAACTTTAACTCTTTCGCTGTACTTAAGTTCAAGTAGAGTTTTCTCCCTTAAACCGATCACATCCAATGGCAACTGTAATGTATGGTGTGTAAAATCTGTTATTGTTCACCACTCATTATGTTGGTATAGAAACTAAGGAAGATGACTTTGCCAGAGATATGCAGAAACTGCTACTTAGGCAAAAGTTGATAACTTCCTGGTTTGTTCTAACTGCTGGGGCAGACAATCAGGGGCGAAATTAGGCATATGGTATCAGGTGAAAGTGGAAATGTGTTTATTGGCTGTTTCAGACTGATATAAGCATGCCTTTCCCTAAGGATCCCCTTCCAGCCTCTTCTGTTGCCATTCTGCTGTTGTCTGCTGAGGTAGCCAGATAGAATGGTGTGTGAAATCTGAAGGAAAGTGATGTAACTGTTTGAACTAATTTAACACTGAAATAAGACCACCTCTATTTTCATTGCCTCCAAAAAGTCCATGAAGGGATCTGAAAGCTTTTATAAAGAAAAGAAAAGGAAGAGTGGAAAAAGTGTAAATGAAAGTGCTACTCCTTTTGTGACTTGATCCATTTAAAAAAAAAACCTTTTATTTAGAATGCAGTGTAAGAAAGGCAAAGGAAAAAAAGGTGAAGAACAGAATCTGTAGCCACCTCATTCCTGATGATGATGATGATGATGATGATGATGGATGAACGTTACATGATCAATAGAATATTTTTTCTTATTAGCTGGTGATGTGTGGAGGAGGGAGGACAGCAAAGCCAGAGGAATCAACCTATCCCTTTGATTTTTATGCTCTTTATACACAAAATCAGGCCAGAACAGAGGCAATAGAGTCAGGGTAGGAATCAACAAAAAAGGCACCAAATATCATGCCAGAATAGTTTTATGCTGATTCAGGATTGGGTTGATAGTAATTTAAGTCAACAGTTAAGTGTAAAAACAAAAAAAATGGAACAGAAGAGTCTCCATTTTACTGCCACCCGTGCATGCTATTTTGTTTTTCTATAGATCTAGTGGCTGTTTAACTGTAAGCTAACTTGTAGTCTGAGTTGGATATCATAGCTGCTTCTTCTTAATAGTTATCCATTGTGATTAATGTAATCTTATTTAACTACAAAGTTAAGACCACAAAGTTTCTATGCCAGAACAAGATAGTACAACAAAGGACCACGTGGCTTAGCATATTGCATGAATGCCAGCAATGATAGTTCAGCATGGCCCATGAGTCTGATGAATTTGAAACTGGCTTTCCCCGATCCCAATGACAAACCAAGCAACTTGATCATATTGATTTAGCGCTAATGAACCTTTCTGTACAAATGTGCTTCAGGCTTTCTTGAATCTCTTAATACATATGCAATTTAAAAATGTATCAAAATGTACAGTATGTTTATAAAACATAGTTGTTTTGTTCAGATAGGCCTTTTTTAAAAAAAACAACAACAACAAAGAATATGTTTTAAAAATAATATTTTTTTCAGTGCCTCTTTGAGAACAGGGATCATTTTTTAAAATCTCCTTTGTCAGAAGGGATACATTGCATAAGACACAATATCAAGAAAGTGGGAGGTTGTGGTTGCTCAGGGAGGGAGGCGTTTGGTATTTCTGAAAAAAAGAGAGAGATTAAAGCTGAAACCCTGTATATGCTTACTGGATTTAGCTTTGTTGAATGGAATAGGTATGATTTATTCCATTTCTCTGGAATTATGTGACAATATAACAAAGCATTGGCTCTGTTAAGAAATGAAAAACTTAGGTATCAGTGAGAACCAAAATGTCTCATACTTTCCAAACCGTGCGCTTAGTATGGTAATTTCTCAGGTACTGTGTATTTTGCTTTTGTATTCAGTAGAAAGGGAGGTGGGTAGGTCTGCCTTTGGATTTTTGTCACTTGTGCTCACATCCACATGCAATGCATATGTAAGTGATGCCATCTGTTTCTCTCACACAGAAAAAGACATACAGAAGCACATTTAGTTCTTTCATTGTAGTACAGGACTTGTTCACATTGTAAATGACCATTCTCTTGGGACTTTGAAAATGGATGTGCCAGTCTATGGTATTAAGTATAAACAGGGAGGTAATTATATGGAGTAAACCTCAATACAACACATCAAGTTGCCTAGCTAATGTGCTGCATGTTTTTAAAAAACTAATATAACAATCTACTAAAAGGGCTGGAATGCTAACATTATTTTAAAAAACCTAATTTCCACTCTCAATTGAAAATCATCCTCCATGATGGATAATACATTTTCTCATTTGCCTAAGCTCTGTGGGAATGACAATGGTAGACAACAAAAATATTTCCTTAGTAAATCACAATACAAAACCATTTAACATTGTATTGTTTAGTTGTCACAATTTAAGTTGCAATTAAAAAAAAACAAGCTTTCCTAAATCCAGAGGTTAAACTATCAGTGATAGTCTTTTAATGTCACCTTATCAGTTTCTATTAAACACAGACAAAAGTATCCTGCAAATATAGCTTATGACTGGGAGTAGACATTTTGTGGCTGGATTTGCACAACTTGTGGGTTGTTGTATAACATGAAGAGGCAAGGGTATCTGCC